AGCTGATTTTTTGTATTTTTAGTAGAGATGGGGTTTCACCATGTTGACCAGGATGGTCTCGATCTCTTGACCTCGTGATCCACCCGCCTCGGCCTCCCAAAGTGCTGGGATTACAGGCGTCAGCCACCGCGCCCGGCTCAGGTTTTTTTTTTTTTTTAATTATTTTCATTATCAGATGTTGAGTGTTTTCTCATAGTTTATTTTTATTTTTTAAGATGGAGTCTTGCTCTGCTGCCCAAACTGAAATGCAATGGCATGATCTCAGTTCACTGCAACCTCCACCTCCTGGGTTCAAACCATTCTTGTGCCTCACCCTCCCAAGTAGCTGGGTCTACAGGTACCTGCCACCGCATCCAGCTAGTTTTTGTATTTTTAGTAGAGTCAGGGTTTCATCATGTTGGCCAGGCTGGCCTTGAACTCCTGACCTCAAGTGACCTGCCTGCCTCCACCTCCCAAAGTACTGGGATTATAGCCGTGAGCCACTGCGCCCACCCCAGATTTTAATTATACATTCAGAGTAATGTTTCTGCAGGGGTTTGTTTGAGGAATTGTTGATGTCATTTTCTCCTTTGACATCTTTGGGTAATCATTGAATTCAAGTCTTCATGTTCTGGAATGTGCTATTTTCAGATTCCAATCCTTTTTGTCTATAGGAACAGCTACCCAGAAAAAAAAATTATATTTTTAGAAAGGGTTGGATGCCTTACCAGTGAGCTTGTTCCTTTGAGGAGTAGCAAAGTCCATTAGCTGGTTCCTCATATGGGCCCCGTGTTCTTGCTGCCTGCCTCCTTCTCCATCCCTGAGGCCTGGGCTGCTTCTCCTGGGCACCAGGGCTCCTCCCAGCTCTCCTTTAGAACTGGAGTGGGCAATATCTGGACAAGTGTTTATGTTTACCATAGGGTCTGGTCTCCTCAGCTCATGTCCCTTGATGTTCCGTGAGTGCTGGACTAGGTGAGGTAAGCAGGAGAGCATCACCCCCAGGACAGAGCAGGAATATGATAGAGTTCATTTGGGGAACAAGCTAGCGTATAAATGAGGTACCCAACATTTTACAGAATAAAAGCATTTTTCTAGTCTGCCTTATCACTTTGGATGAGAGTGCATTTTGCATCTTTTGTCATCTGATTGTCTGTCCCATATGATCTTGGGCCACCCCTCATTTTTAGCCAGGCGCTTCTGGATTGTCCTGAAAGGCCACCCAATGCTGCCTTGTGGCTTTCCACATTGACTTCCTAGGAGACCTGGTAGCAGAGAAATCGTCAGTAAATCATTCCAGACCTTTATTTCATGTTTTTTTTTTTCAAATCATAGACTGTACTTTGACTGGTCTGTGGTGGGTCCTGTGTCTCTGTTTGTTTTTTTGTTGTTTTTTTTTTCTCCAGTAACCAGGATTAAGAATCATTGCTTTAAGTGACTATCAAATAGTATGATTTCTCAAAAATATAAATTTATTTCAATTAATAAATATAGCTTCTTTCTTATACTTGGACTTCATTTCTATTTTTATTGAACTGTTGGGTTGTTGGGGTTTTTTCAGGTTTTATACCCTGCTGGTGCTGGCCACGGCCCTCTTTGGACAACCACCTTTCAAGAATGTAATTGTGAATGGGCTCATCCTGGCAAGGTAGGTCAATTCCTTTGTTGTAGTGATGGATGGAGCTTTGTCTCCACTGTTTCTCAAGAAGGAGTGTGTGAGAGCTAAGCCTGATGGAGGTGGAGGAAGGGGAGGACTTTTTTCATACTGTGCTACTACTAGTAACATAATGCTACTTAGTGATATTACCAGTAGTAAAATAGCATTTACTAAACTTAGCATTTTATGAAGTACTTTTGCTTATACATCTTATTTCGTCCATACATCAGTCCTTTCATGTAGATTTTGTTGTCCTTTTTTTTTTAACATATGAGGAAGCTGTGGGTCCTAAAGACCACAGGTGGTCAGGATCAAAGCTAGTGACAGCCACACCAGGTTCAACCCAGGTACTCTGCCACCAGATCTCATTCTCCCCCTCATCTAAAACTTCCTCCCAGTGGGTGTTGCTTCCTGCTTTTTAATATTATAAAGGAGTCTCATTTTTCATTTATTACCTGTAGTCATTAAGGATAAAAATAAACATAAACAAAAATTTAAATGAAATATTTACCCACACAGAAATCCTGCTTTATATGCTGTGTGGGGAGGAAGAGGATGTCACCTAACATTTTGTGCATCCTTTTTTTTTTTTTTTGCTAGGCCCCATTGTGTGCATTTTCACATCTTAATTCATTTAACCCTTGGAACCATTCGAGATGGGTCCTATAATCACCCCATTTTGACCTTCGAGGAATCTGAGGGACAGAAAAAGAACACACAGCCAATGAGTGGTAAATGCAAGTTTTGAACTCAGGCAGTCTGCCTCTGTGGTATGTGTGCTGCCTTTTTTTTTTTTTTTTTTTTTTTTTTCAATGGAGAATGGTATTGAGAGCCCTGCGCTGTGGCTCATGCATTGTAATCCCAGCACTTTGGGAGGCTGAGGTGGGTGAATCACCTGAGTTCAGGAGTTTGAGACCATTGGTGAAATCCCATCTCTACTAAAAATACAAAATTAGCGGGTGCAGTGGTGCACACCTGTAATCCCAGCTACTTGGGAGGCTGAGGCACAAGAATCTCTTGAACCTGGGAGGTATAAGTTGGAGTGAGCCAAGATCACTGTACTCTAACCTAGGTGATAGAGTGAGGCTCCATCTCAAAAAAAAAAAAAAATTGGAAAATTGTATTGAGATCATTGTAGATTTGCATACAATCATGAAAAATAATAGCCCTTGTATTCTTTGCCCAGTTTCCCTCAGTGGTCACATTTTACAAATGTGTGTATATCACAGTATATATCACAACCAGGATATTGATACAGTCCATCAATCTTATTCAGATTTCCCTAGTTTTACATATATTTATTTGCTTATATGCATTTACTTATACACAACTATCACATGTGTAGGGTCTTGTATCCACCAGCACAGCCAAGATACTGGATGATTTCGACGCCAAAGGCTCCCTCCTGCATTGCCCTTTAATAACTACATTCATCCCCCACTGACCTTCCCACTGTCATCCCCAATCCATGGCACCCACTGGCTTTTTCTCCCTCTATAATTTTGTCATTTCAAGAATGTTATATAAATAGAATCCTACAGTAACTAATTTGGGGACATTGGCTTTTTTTTTTTTCTATTTTTTTTAGATGAAGTCTCACTGTGTCACCCAGGCTGGAGTGCACTGGCGCAATGTCAGCTCACTGCAACCTCCACCTTCTAGGCTGAAGCGATTCTCCCATCTCAGCCTCCTGAGTAGCTGGGACCACAGGCATGCACCATCACACCTAGCTAATATTTTGTATTTTTGGTAGAGAAAGGGTTTTACCATGTTGGCCAGGCTGGTTTTGAGCTCCTGAACTCAGGTTATCCACCTGCCTCAGCCTCCCAAAGTGCTGGGATTACAGGCTTGAGCCACAGCACTCAACTGGCTTTTTTTCAATCCACATAATTCCATTGAGATGTCAGATGGCTGCGCATACCAATAGTTCATTCCTTTCTATGGATAAGTAGCATTCTGTATTATGGGTATGCCATGGTTGTTTGACCATCTACCTCTTGAAGGACATCTGGGTTGCTTCTAACATTTGCCAATTGTGATTAAAGCTGTTGTGAACAATTTTTTTAAAGGTTTTTATGATAATGTAAATTTTCATTTCTCTGGGACATATTCTGACATATCTTCCTGTTTCAGTCTACCCTGAAACTTCCTCATGGACTTACTATGATATTCAAGAAGTTTGCAAATATTAAAATATCCTACTGATGTATCTTAACACTTTCCGTTTCTTATTTGAGATGGAGTCTTGCTCTGCTGCCCAGACTAGAGTGTAGTGGTGTAATCTCAGCTCACTGCAACTTCTGCCTCCAGGCTCAGGCAGTTCTCCTGCCTTAACCTCCCCAGTAGTGGGGATCACAGGTGTGTACCACCATACCTGGCTAATTTTCATATTTTTAGTAAGAGATGGGGTTTCACCATGTTGGCCAGGCTGGTCTTGAACTCCTGACCTTAGTTGGTCCACCTGCCTTGCCCTCCCAAAGCGCTAGAATTAATATATGTGAGGCACGGTGCCTAGCCTGTTAACACTTAACTTCTGAGTTACTCCTTCCCATTTCCTTTTTTGTATTCCTATTTGGAAATGATTTATATCCTTATATCAGGATCATCTGTGATATTGACTTAATTGGCATCTCCCTTTTGTTTTACAAGTGATGGCCAAAAAATGAGCAAACGGAAAAAGAATTATCCAGATCCAGTTTCCATTCTCCAGAAGTATGGTGCTGATGCGCTCAGGTACAAACCAGTGCTTTTCCTTGTGTGTATTTATTGTTTTTTATGTAAGCATCTCCTATACTATTAGAATTCTTAGATTTGGTTTATAGTTAGGTTTTTAACAACACATCTCTGTTATAATTTGGGTGTTATGTTGGTATGCTTGTTGATCTTCAACTCCCCAAATAGTTTTCTAGATAATAAAGGCATTTTTAAACCTAGAGGTCTGTTTGGGGAAGAGGACCTCTGTTGGGTGTTGAGCTGTCCAAGTCTTCCCCAGGCTAGATTTGGATTGCCTCTGCCTTACTTCTTTCTAGGTTCCCTGTCTTGTTGGTATTTGAATTCCCTTTCATCATTTATTTTAATTTTGTGCTTACAGAGCCATGTGAGATATATCTATGCTAGAGCTATTAAAAAACTAATATTGAAAAGCTTTTGGGGAAATTTGAGCCACTGCTTGAGGTAGTTGTAATCACAAAATCACACAACGTTCGAGTTGAAAGGGACCTAGAGATCTTGTTCAGCATCTTTTTGTCCTGGACATGAGACCAATGCCCAGGCCTGTGACACAGCACCATCATACAGCACCTGTGTTGCCCAGGAGCCATTAGTGTAGGGCTCTCCCCCAACTCTCCACTGTCTCTTAGACTCACCCTTGGCACTGCTGGCCATTTGGGCTGGGTAATTCTTTGTGGTAGTAATTTTTTGTAGGATGTTTAGCAGCATTCCTGACCTCTGCCCACCAAATGTCAAGACTGTGTTCTGTGAAGGCTGCTCCTTATGAGTTCCTCTGTCTGCAAGCAGCAGATGTGCAGGTCGTGTCCATGGGAAGGAGACAGTGGCTCTTGACAAGGACCAGGCCAGCCTTCCTCTTAGTACTAGTGTACCCCATTGGTCCTGCAGTGAGACTGGCATAAGATGCATTTTGGTGCCATATTTTATTATCAGATTATATACGCCTTTTATAATTTCCTAGGTCTCTTACACAAAGCGAGAGTGAGTTTTGTGAATTTTAAATTGACCACTCAAAGAGTATTCATAGTTTCTCCCTTTCATAGAAAGTAGGCTGATTTTCATCTTGCTCTCTCAGTGTGTCAAGTAGTAATAATTGGTTTACTGTCTAAGCATCTTTTTTGTCTAATTTTTCTCCCACTTCCAGATTATATCTGATTAACTCCCCTGTGGTGAGAGCAGAAAACCTCCGCTTTAAAGAGGAGGGTGTGCGGGACGTCCTTAAGGATGTTCTGCTCCCATGGTACAATGCCTACCGCTTCTTCATCCAGAATGTTGTGAGGCTTCAGAAGGTATGAGCTGCAGGGGGCTGCACATGTGCCTGCCACATCTCCACAGCGCTCTCTTCACCAAGCTGTGTGGTGGAGCTCTGTGTAAGACTGTAGGGCTGCTATTCCTGCTGCCTGTTGCTGGTAACTTAGAGTCATTGGGAGGCCATATGCGCAGGTGGGGAAGGTATCTGGGGTTTGGGCTGTGCCGGGACCATGGGGCCTCACCTGCAGAAGGGTTGTGTAACATAGTTGTTTAGCGGCCAGTTCTTTTTTTGGGGGGTGGGGGGAGGGGCGGAGTCTCAGTCTTGTCACCCAGACTGGAGTGCAAAAGCGCAGTCTTGGCTCACCTCTGCCTCCTGGGTTCAAGCAATTCTTCTGCCACAGCCTCCCCGGTAGCTGGGATTACAGGAGCTCACCACCATGCCCAGGTAATTTTTTTCTATTATTACTGGAGATGGGGGTTTCACCATGTTGGCCAGGCTGGTCTCTAACTCCTGACCTCAGGTGATCCACCCACCTTGGCCTCCCAAAGTGCTGGGATTACAGGCATGGATTACACTGCACCTGGCCTAGTCAACCAGTTCTTGGTATCAGAAACGCCATGCTGAGTGAGACACCCCTCCCCCTTTTGGAACCAATGGAGTGGGAATTGGGAGAGATAGTAAAGAGTCAGCTACTTTTAGAGAGAGCACCCAGTGAAGACAGAGTCACAGAAGCTAGCTAGGGCTGGGTGCTTGAGGTGGGTGGTCAGAGAGCACCCCTCAGTGGGGTGGCATTTGAGCTAATCTAAGAGTGATAGTAATTCTTGATGGAGTTTTCAGTGGGTAGTTAGGATGACAAATAACAGTTGTGATATATGTGAAAGTGTACTTCAAGGGCAGTTACCTCCACACCCAGGAGTTACTCTCTCACCTGAGAAGCCCTTGCTCTAGGGCCACCTTCCATGCCCCACAAGTGACCACTGTCAGGGCCCATCACCTTCATTGCACATCTTCCTGTGTGGACTTTCAAGACCTGATTTGGGGTCAGGGATCCAGTATTGCACATCTTATCTCCAGCAGCTTACAAGTAAAATTGCTTGTAAGTTACTGTTTAATGAACATGAGATGTTATTCCTGCTTGAGCAGTTCAAAAAGCTGGTTGAAGAAATGAACTCTTATCATCCCACTGATCTGCTCCCCTTGGGTTCTGGTTGTCCTGCTAATGAGGACACATGTTCTCTGAGGCTCTCAGAGTAGACTTTCTGCAGGAATTGAGAAAGGTAGTCGTCCTCCCCAGGTTCCCAGCATTCTTCCTCTCTGCAGCCCTGCTACCTTCCCTGCATATGGTTCTGTGCCAAATAGGGCCAACAGTCTTTGCACAGGTGCACGCTGCAGGCCTCGACTGGAGTGGGACCCAGAAATGCAGGCTGGGTCAAAGCTCCCCACAGCGAGGGCCCATCTGAGCATACCAGCAAGATACAGACTCCACAATCAAAGGTTTAAACCTAGAGGAAGAGTCACATTATCACTGCCCTGCCAGCCTGGTTGTGGTACTGCCAGAGAAACAAAGCAGGACATGAGTTCTGTATGTGGAGCAGGGACTTAAGATCAAGGATGATTTTGTAAAGCAAAAAGAATGAAATAGAACATTCTGGGTAAAATGAACAGCTTTAACATGGCAATTACTTCCCAGTACTCATTTTCAGTTTGCGGACAATCATTCAGTCCTAGACAGTTTTACTGTCCTTCCTTCCTGAGGTTTGAAATAACAAAACCCTACACTTTCTGACAAGGTTTTAGAATATCTCCCAATTCATAATTACTCTTTGATGCAGAGTAGTAATGTTTTTCTAAACTCTTTTCAGTTCACTCAAAAACAGAATTAATTGAGGACTTAATGTCCCACATTGGTGCTTATCTTGAAAATACTGATGAAAATCAGAAATTCACATTGCCAGCAGGCTTTGGGATTTTTGTTTTTGGTGTTGTTTAAGTGATTTTAAAAGTTTATTTCCTTATAGTAGCTTCCCCCACTGTGCAAGTGTTTCATTAATTGTTCATTCCTAGGAAGAAGAAATAGAATTTCTCTACAATGAGAGCACAGTTAGAAAAAGCCCCAACATTACGGACCAGTGGATCCTGTCCTTCATGCAGTCTCTCATTGGCTTCTTTGAGACTGAAATGGCAGGTGAGTCTCTCTTGGTCTGTCCTCCCAGAGCTACTATCTTTGTAACTGCCCTTTTGGTATGTATCTGTCTATAAACACAGTGGAAATATTGAGAGATACAGAAAATTAAATAATTACTTCCTTTCACCTCTCAAATGTAGTTTTGTTAAGGCTTGTTCATTGTTGGGATGTCTTTGTTTCAAGGCCCTGGGGAATTGTGACCGGGCTTGGTGGCTCACACCTGTAATCCCCAGCATTTTGGGAGGCCGAGGCAGGTAGATCACCTGAGGTTAGCGAGTTCCAGACTAGCCTGGCAAACATTGGTGAAACCCTGTCTCTGCTAAAAATATATTAAAGAAAAAATTAGCTTGCCATGGAGGTGGGCACGTGTAATTCCAGCTACTCAGGAGGCTGAGGCAGGAGAATCGCTTGAACCTGGGACACAGAGGCTGCAGTGAGTTGAGATTGCACCACTGCCTGGGTGACAAGAGTGAAACTCCATCTTTTGGGGGGGGAAAAAAAAAAAGAAGAAGCAGCCCTGGGGAATTCTGTCATTAGAGGTGTCTTGGCGAGCTCAACCCTCCACATAAGACCTTTGGAGCTTGACAGCTGTGGGTTCAAAGCCCAGCTCTACCACTTATTCCCAATCCAGAGAGTTGCCTAAAGTCTGACCATCAGTTTCTTTCTTTCTTTTTTTTTTTTTTTTTTATTTTTATGGGTACATAGATGTATATATTTATGGGGTATGTGAGATATTTTTAGACAGGCATACAATGTGTGATAATCACATCAGGGTAAATGTGGTATCCATCACCTCAATCATTTATTGTATCTTTGGGTTGCAAACATCCCAGTTATACCCTTTTAGTTGTTTTTAAATGTTGACTGCAATCACCGCATTGTGCCATCAGATGCTACTCATTCATTCTGTCTTGACCTTCGGTGTCTTTACCTGGAAAATGCCTAGCAGTGTTTGTAAGGCTTAAGTAGAGACGATTTACATAAAGTAGCTGGCAGATAATAGGTACTCAATAAATAATACTTGTTATTATTACATTTATAACTTATTTTTAGTTCTATTTTTATTACTGAATTGTCCGCATCTTTTCCAGAAAAATTAGAAAAGTCAGAAGAGCAATAATGAAATGGACATTTTGCTATATTTCTCTTAACTAACAACAGTAAGTTTGTTAGGTAATTTTACAGAGATTCAAGACTACATTATGTTGAGTTCCTCAGGGCTTCAGATAGTTACAACTATAGGTCCAAGTGAGACATCTGGGACACCTCAGACAATCAGTTAAAGTGGGCAGGCAGAGGCCCTGGGTCACAGTGAGGACGAAAGAGGGCAAGGCAAATCCATCCTCACAGGACCCTGCAGATCCTGCTGCTGTTGGGCAGAGCAGCAGCCAGTACTGCCCCACATAGCACAAAAAGACTGTTAACCAGTCACCCTAAAGGATTTGACCACCTTGTTAAACATGTAGAAGTATCATGACAGTCCAGCTGTTGCTCAGATGGACATGGATGAAGATGGAAGTGAGTGTGAGGCTGATTCCTGCCCTGAGGAGGGCAGCACTGGGAATCCAGCACACTCTGCCCAGATTCCTCACAACTGTGTCTGCTTTTCCCTCCTGAGTGGTAGGAGTGGGTGGGAAATGTGGGGATTGTTGCTTGGAGCCGCTGCCATAACCTGGTGAAGCTGGGTCTGGAGAGTGTGCACCCTGACTGGAGCCTCATCTGCCTAGAAACTAGAGATCAGCAGCCACGTCATGTGGGTCATATTTAAGTCCCAGCTCTGCCAGCCTGTCAGCTTCATGCCCTCCACTCCCTCAGCAGCACCGTGGGTGTGAGAGGACCTGGCTCCCAGGGTGGCAGTGTCCTGGGTGGTGGCTGCTGCTGCTGCTGCTGCCGCTGCCCCCATATGTTGTAAATTCATTCATTGCATGTGGGGTTCATTTACTCACTCAAAGTTGAAACCAGAACATAGAAAACCTTAGCTTCCTGGAAGGTAAAAAGTGACGTGAACCCTAGAAATCATTTAGACAGAGCTCAGTCACTGAAATCACCAGTCGAGGAAAGTATGACCAGCTAACGACTCTGGCCTGGGGCTCAGCCCACTGTCACCCGAGTTCTGGTCTTTGTAAACAGCAGCAGAGAGCAGCTCTGCCCGTTGCAATTTCTCATCTCTTTAGCTTAGACCAGAAGCCTCATTAAAACTCCCTGGATTCTTTTCATTATCATAAACTGTGTTTGTTTCTAAGTGTTGCTCTTTTGGTGCTTGTTTTTATGCAACAGAATATTAATTTAAAGGGGAGGTGAATGAGAATCCTTAAAATAAGCCTTGCCTCAGACACGACTGGCTGAACACCCTTTCTTTCCTGCCTGACCTCTGAGTTTCTCAGGGAACCCTTCAAATCCTCCTGATTCCTCAAGACTTTCACTACCTCTTTTGCTGTTTTTACTCGACTGTTTTAATACTTAGAAAGCAAGTTATATTTTATTCATATCATATGCCAGTTTCTCAAGTGCAGCGTTATGGACAGTTTGGGCCAAATTATCCTCTGTGGTGGGGCTGTGCTGTGCATTATAAGATGTTGAGCACCATCTCTGGGGTCTACCCATTAGATTCCAGTAGCACCACGCTACCCGCCAAGTTGTGGCAAGCAAACTGTTTCTTAAAACACTGACACATGTTCCCCGCAGGGCAAAATTGCTTTTGTTTGAGAATCACTGGCCTATACTGTGCCTTTTAGCACCTGATTTGAGCTTTTTCTATGTCCTTTAGTTGCAGTACAATGTACTACAATAGAAAGGAGTTGGGCATTGTTGATGCTGTCAAATTGCACAACTCCCTGTAAACGATATTTGCTACACTTGTGTAGTGGGCAGCCTTGGACCTTGATCCACACATATTGGAGTTTTTGGCTTTTTTCACTGACCAGTGGGAATTCTGATGTGGCTCATAGGATGGTTTCTGTGTGCATCTCGAAATGCCTTGACTGCCATGTAGCACATCCTCAACAAGTGGTCGTTACATGATTGCTCCATTTTGGTTCTTAGTAAGTGGGGGCCCTTGGGTAGAAGAGGCTGCACGTTCTTTGTTGTATCCAGCCCTTTCCCCACCCCAGGTGCCTGTTACTCCCTTGCTGCCTGATTGACTTGTCTTACTTTTAGCTTACAGGCTTTACACTGTGGTGCCTCGCCTTGTCAAGTTTGTAGATATTCTCACCAATTGGTATGTTAGAATGAACCGCAGAAGATTAAAGGTAAGTGCAGACCGCCGTTGAGAAAAGCAAAATGCACATGAAGTTTGAGAGTAGAAGAAATATGAGAATAGCCCAAAGGGAAAGGAACATTTTCAGATGCTCTCAGTTTTTGAAGCTATGCTTTTCTTCTCCTTTTACCTTGCATTTTAACTATATTTGTCATTTGAGGCATAGGGATCTATAAGTTTAAAAGTCATTTTGCATGTTTTTTCACAACACAATTACGTACATATATTGGAGGGAGAATGTCAGGGCACAAACCGGACTAAACTGAGCAGACCTCTTAACATTTGAAATAAAATCATGCAAATATTTTATAAAAATATTGACAGGTAGGGCTTTAATATTGAGAGATATACCGCCTTCCTTTTACCACAGGGAAGTCGGTTATTTGGCTGTGGACAAAACTCCTGTGTAGCTGTTGGGGGTTTAGGATGAGCACAGCATAGGTCCTGGTCTCAGGACTTAACCAAAGTACATAAATAACAATGATGTATAACAGGGAGAGCGAAGTCGCTTTACCGTAAGCCCAGTAAAGTCTCCCACCACCCATTAATCGTGTCTTTTTTGAGACAGACTTTCACTTTTGTCACCCTGGCTGGAGTACAATGGCAGGATCTTGACTCACTGCAACCTCTGCCTCCTGGGTTTAAGTGATTCTCCTGCCTCAGCCTCCCTGTGAGCTGAGATTACAAGTGTGTGCCACCACGCCTAGCTAATTTTTTATTTTTAGTAGAGACAGGTTTCACCATGTTGGCTAGGCTGGCCTTGAACTCCTGACTTTATGTGATCCACCTACCTCAGCCTCTCAAAGCACTGGTATTACAGGCATGAGCCGCCGCACGCAGCCAGTCATGGCTTAAAATGCATTAATAATAAAACCCTGCAACACAACTATAATTTCGTTTTTGTGCAGGTGTATCTCACACACAAATATCTAGAACATATGCTAAGGTGTTTACAGTAGTTATCTCTGGATAACTTATTCATGGTTGAAATTTTTTCATTATCTTCGTTTTTCCTGCAATGAATTAGTTTTTTTTAATATACAGTATATACTTTTTTAACATAAAATATCTTGTATAAAGGCACTTTAAGTTTTCAGTTAGCAGCTTTCTGTCTGTTGTGGGTAGATCCATTCTGCCCTCAGCCTTTTGGTCCTACAGTTAGGCTTTACTTTCCTATCCGCTCACCTCAGGTGGGGTTAGAGGGACAGCAGCTGCACATCCTGGCCAGGCTTCCTGCACTGCCTTGCAGGGCCACCCTAGACAGCCTGTGGTGGTGGCCCTTTCTTCTTACTCTGCCTCGTGTCCTGTGTGCTGCATGCTGTTTGAGGGTTGCCTCTTTTTAATCAACTTTTTTTTTTTATGATAAACACTTATTTTAGCAGTTTAAGTTTATGTTTCCTTTTTATTCATTAGGGTGAAAATGGGATGGAAGATTGTGTCATGGCCCTAGAAACCTTGTTTAGTGTTCTGCTCTCTCTTTGCAGACTTATGGTAAGATGGTTGGCTTCTCTCTAGTACCCTTTGGCCTGTGTGCTGCCTTCGGTACCCGCTTGCTGCAGCGTCCTCCTCTTATATCTGTTCTCTTTTATTCCACCAAAAACAGAAATAGACGTTTTATAACAGCTTATAGCTGTAGTTTCTTTTCAGAAATCTTATTAGCTTATACATGTTAAGTAAGGACTAAGAAACACTAGATTTTTTCTTACAATCTCTGTTAGTATAGTGTATGTCAGAGCCCTTGGCTCGAGAAGGAGGATCTACAGTTTGAAGTAAGACATACCTCGTCTTAATATATGGATTGGTATAATTGCAAATAATGAGGAAGTTCTTTAGCTAATACCTGTCCTAGCAAATATATCATAAAAAATACTTTGACTTAGCATTGAGAGGAAAACTTTCAAGTAATTGATACATGTTCCTCTTAGTTCAAATATTAGTTAAATAATAATAAAGTGGAAAGTTTCCAACTTGCTTTTTATCCTGTTTCTGCTACTCCGTATATTATAAGGCTCCTATTTATTCCTTAACTGAAGGAAAATCTGCTTTGTACAAGGTCCTGTGCCTGATCCTCTCCATGCCTGATCTAACCACCTTCATCCCGTGAGGCAGGGGGTGTTTTCCCAGTTAACAGATGAGGTTTCTGAGGTTTGGGACAGTCAGTCCTCTGTGCATACTGACTTGGCCGATATATCATTAGGTGCTCCTGTTTCTGTTTTAGACATCCTTCAGAATTCTGGAGATGCTTTGGGCTTTTCTGGCTACAGTCCTGCAGCTATGCTTCAGGGCCGTGAGGCCATTTCTCATTCATAGGGCATGTTTTATAACCTCATGCCCATTTCGGTGCATATTACTGTGTTGCTAACATGTTTAGTTGTTTCTCAGTAAAAATGAGGTCAGTTGTTGGTGACTGCATATGAGTGACATGATGTCCTGTGTCTTCATACAGGCTCCCTATACGCCTTTTCTCACCGAATTGATGTACCAGAATCTAAAGGTGCTGATTGACCCTGTTTCTGTTCAAGACAAGGACACACTCAGCATCCACTACCTCATGCTGCCCCGTGTTCGGTAGGAATCAAATAGAAATAAGCCTCACCTTTGCCAAGGAGGGAGCGTTGCTCAAGCATGTGCGGGAGAGGAGGCATTTCCCTGTTTCAGCTCCCTCTGTGCCCTGCCTCCTACCCTAGTCCCCAGCTGACATGAACCCCTCGTCAGGCTGCACCATGGGGCCCACGTTGGTACATGGTAACAGGGATGCTTGGTATGGAACCCCGTTGTAGAGCTGCAGCATGTGGGGTGTGGGCATGCCCCATGGGGGCCCCTTGGGGAGGTGCCGGGTGCTGAGGCAGGCTCAGGCTGCTGCCTCCTTCTCTGTCCCCCAGGCGGGCACTGCACTGCCCTTCCCCTGGCGCCTCATCAGGAGGGCCTGGCCACACTTCTGTAGCCTGACCCTCTTCCTCACGTAAGCATGCCTAATGTCTTGAATTTTCCTTTTAAATCTAATCTCTTTCATATTCCTGCCTCTACCACTCAGAGAAGAATTGATTGATAAGAAAACAGAGAGTGCAATATCTCGGATGCAGTCTGTGATCGAACTTGGACGAGTGATCAGAGACCGCAAAACTATTCCCATAAAGGTTTGAAATTCTACTTCTATTTTACATGGCACCGACCTAAATATTTAAGTCTTTGGGGTGTTTTCTTAATATAGAGAGCTTCCAGCAATGGCCTTTTTTCTTTTCTGCAGTGAGGGTGTGAATGACTTAGTACTAGTCCAGCCTGACTAGTCTAGAGCTTGAGGTTCAAATAAACATTTAATATTCATTTTTCTGCATATAGGAGACTGGCTGCTGAGTGACCTTTCCCCTCCCTTTTCCTCCTAGTATCCTTTGAAAGAAATTGTGGTTATCCATCAAGATCCAGAAGCTCTTAAAGATATCAAGTCTTTGGAGAAGTATGTCATTGAGGTAAGATGGATAATTTGTCTGTTTTGAGTACAAATAGACCTCCCTTGAGAACATTATTTTGATGAATAATCTTCAATAAAGTACATATTGACTGTATAATTTATTTTTATTAGTATATTCGTAAAAAATTTAACAATCCATCATATTTTACACTGTGCTTGGAATCAGCACAAATTTGATATAATTCTTTTTTTTTTTTTTTGAGACGGAGTTTCACTCATGTTACCCAGGCTGGAGTGCAATGGCGCCATCTCGGCTCACCGCAACCTCCGCCTCCTGGGTTCAGGGAATTCTCCTGCCTCAGCCTCCTGAGTAGCTGGGATTACAGGCACGCACCACCATGCCCAGCTGATTTTTTGTATTTTAGTAGAGACGGGGTTTCACCATGTTGACCAGGATGGTCTCGATCTCTTGACCTCGTGATCCACCCGCCTCGGCCTCCCAAAGTGCTGGGATTACAGGCTTGAGCCACCGCGCCCGACCCCCTGATATAATTCTTGATATAAAAATATTTCAAGATCAGTGAAGTTTTTAACCTGTCACCTATCATCTTCATTTGCGTCTCTTCTGTGTTGAAGTGTTTTTCTTTTTTTTTCTTTTTTGTGAGAGTCTTACTCTGTCACCGAGGCTGGAGTGCAGTGGTGCATTACCACAACCTCCTCCTAAGTCCAAGCATTTCTCCTGCCTCAGCCTCCCGAGTATCTGGGACTACAGGCACTGCCACCATGCCCAGCTAACTTTTGTATTTTTAGTAGAGGTGGGGTTTCACCATGTTGGCTAGGCTGGTCTTAAACTCCTGACCTCAAGTGATCTGCCCACCTTTGCCTCCCAAAGTGCTGGGATTACAGGCATGAGCCCCACTTCGCCTGGCCTTCTGAAGTACTTTTTTATAACTACCAAAGAAACTTTGTTTCTCCAAGTTATGCAAGTGACAAGTGCACTTGCGTTGGTTATAAATAGTCAAGGCACTAGCATAGTGAGCCTCTTTCCACTCCATCTCTCCTGGAGTCTCAGTTCCTCACTGCTTCATAATTTATATAATTACTCTCCTGTTGTTTGAAATTTAGGTTTCTGATTACAAACAAAAGCTATGTATGTACATATATGCATATATCACTGTACAGATATTCGGTACATACCAGAAGTGGAGTTTTGGGGTCAAAGTTTATAGTGTCAGTTGGCTTTCTAAACCTCTTTATTCCATGATTTTTTAAAAACAAGTATGTTTTACCTCATCTTCTTTGTGATGCTAGAAAATAAATATTTTTTAAAATTTCATTTATTCTTTTCACTGGTAATACTTAAAATCATTATTGTAGAAAATATTAATTTCTATATTTGGTTTTCAGTCGCTTGAGAATTCCAGAGAACTGTTAGAAACTGAAAATTAGACTGTAAATTCTGAAAATGGTACCTGTGGTTATGCATAAAATAGAAACTTTTTTTGTTTTTCTTGAGATGGGGTCTCATTCTGTCACCCAGGCTGGAATGCAGTGATGTAATCTTGGCTCACTAAAGCCTACATCGCCTGGGCTTGGGCAATCCTCCCCCCTGTCTCCCAGATAGCTGAGATTAGGCATAGTAGTACAGGCTTTTGTACAGATGGGGTTTGACCATGTTACCCGGTCCAGTCTCTAACTCCTGAGCTCAAGCAGTCCTTCTACCTCGGCCTCCTGAAGTGCTAGGATTACAGATGTGCACCACCGTGCCCAGCTGAAAACATTTTAAATAAATTACTTCAGTCACTTAAAATGAGGTTAATTAATGTAGCTAAATATAATGGCAAAACTAAACATTCCATATTATTTGCTTCAAACTGTTGTTCTCAATGAGATCTCATTTTCTCATCTACTGTGCCATCACCATCCCTGCTGCATCAGTAATCCTCAGTAGCATGACTGAAGCATGAAGTCTTCTGTTTAACTGATTCTTCTGCTTGGTTGATAGTTAACTTTGTGGTTCTCTGAAATTGCTTGCACAAAGGTTACCTCTGAGGGATGAAGTTTATATTTCTGGCTCTGGAGTCCTTTTTCTGTTATGCTCAACTGTCTTGATGGATCTTCATAAGAAGCATTTTTTCTTAGCATACAAGTCACTGGTTATTAAGCATATTTATAGAATTGTACAACCATCACCACAGTTTTAGAACATTTTCATCATCCCGGAAAGAAACCCAGGATTCATTAGCATTCACACACCATTTTCCCCTCGATTCCTGACCAGTTCCCGGCATCCATGAACCTATTTGCTATCTCTGGGTTTGCCTTCTCTGGACATTTCATATTAATGGAATCATACAATTTGTAATTTTTATGTCTGGCATATTTCAGCTAGCATAATGTTTTACATTAATTTATGTTGTAGCATGTATGAGTGCTCAGTCCTTCATATTGCCAAATATTTCATTGCATGTGTCTGCGGTATTATTTTATCCATTCACTGTTGATGGACATTTGAACTGTTCTTACTTTCTGGCTGATGGGAATAATGTTGCTGTGGACATACGTTTTTATGTGAACATATGTTTTCATTTTTCATTTTTGTTTCCTCTTGTGCACTAACTATAGGAATTGAATGTTCGAAAAGTTACATTGTCTACAGATAAAAACAAGTATGGCATTCGGCTAAGGGCAGAACCAGATCACATGGTCCTGGGGAAGCGTCTGAAGGGAGCGTTTAAGGCAGTGATGACGTCCATCAAGCAGCTGAGCAGTGAGGAGCTGGAGCAGTTCCAGAAGACTGGTAGGTGTCTACACAGACAAGGGCACACCGATCATTTCCTAAGGCTGAAGGATATTTTGTATTTAGGTTACTGTTTGACTTTAATATCACATGCTTCTCTTTTCTTTTCTATTTTTTGAGACGTAATTGCACTCTGTCACTCAGCCTGGAGTACAGTTTCTAAATTTTAGTTTCTGAGTAAACTTTTGCACTAATGAAAACAAAATTGTTTTTTGGAACACAGTGACAAAGTAAACATAAACATAACACGCTAGTGCTCAGAGCCCAAAAGAATCATTATCAATGACAACAGGGGGCCTCCCTGTCACCAGGGATGTTGTCGTCAGCAGCTGTGCATATTTCTGCCTCCCCAAGCAGGCATGATCCTCAGTACCACACACTACCTGTCTGATTTTAGCCTCACCACACCTTGCTCAGCATGTCATGCAACCAGCTAATAGCGGACCTAAGTTCACTTTCTCTCTAAAGAGTGTGTTTTCTTCATTACATCCTGCTGCTCTATGTTTATGGTGAGCATTTGTTGCCTCTAGGTGCCTTCCCTTAGCCTTGTCATGTCTGTGGACCCGAGGGTTTATATAAAACTAGATATTGGTGAAGACTTAATTGTCTTCAAGGTAGTGTAGTGTAGTCCAAAGAAAGTTTGTCATATCTTGGCTACAACCATGACATGAGTCAGAGGGAAATGGTCTCTTGAAACCTCTGTGGCTTTGCTGTTGTGAAATTTTCATGAAGAAGGGGCATAATACACGGGTAGTGGCGCAGCTTGAAGAAGAAGGGAAGCTGATTAACAGTGTATCTGCTTCTCCATAGGGACCATTGTTGTGGAAGGCCATGAATTGCATGATGAAGACATCCGCCTCATGTACACCTTTGATCAGGCCACAGGTGGGACTGCACAGTTTGAAGCACACTCAGATGCTCAGGTATTTTTCTGTTTCCTGAAACATTTCTTTACCAAGAGATGAGAGCATAAGAGGAGAAAGCATTTGCCCGTGCCTTTCCTGATAATGTTGACAGCTTGTCTCAGGGTAAAATAAACCAGTTACTTGGTTTAGATTGGCTTTGTTAAACTAATATATCATTATGCCTTTAACATATGCATTTGTTTAATGAATACATAAGCATCTTGTGCTTTCTACATGTAATTGTCTCAAGTGTGGGGTTGCACAAAAATGAACGCTTCATGCTGGGCGCGGTGACTCACACCTGTACTTCCAGCACTTTGGGAGGTCAAGGCAGGCAGATCACGAGGTAAGGAGATCGAGACCAGCCTGGCTAAGATGGTGAAACCCAGCCTGTACTAAAAATACAAAAAATTAGCCAGGTGTGGTGACACGTGCCTGTAGTCCCTGCTACTTGGGAGGCTGAGGCAGGAGAATCACTTGAACCCGGGAGGTGGAGGTTGCAGTGAGCCGAAATTGTACCACTGCACTCTAGCCTGGGCAACAGAGCGAGATTCCATCTCAAA